ACATCTTTTTCTTCTATCCATAACAATGCCATTTGACTTATGTAATAAAATTCAAGAGGGTGTAGATCAAACCTCATTGACTCATACTTAATAAATGCTTTTGATGACTTCAATGAAAATAATTGAGACCTTCAATTAATTCTGTAGGAATCTCTTGGCATTGTCCCAGAAAAGAGGAATGAATCCGGACCTCCTGCTGAGCCCAGCATGACTGAGGTCTGATTTCCCTCTTTGTGTTCCAGTTCCACATTCTGCGTAGCTGTTGAATGAGCCAAGGCAAAGTGCCATGAGGAGTATGCTGAAGAAGGAAAGTAGTGAGAAAGAGCATGTCGTTTTGGGCTGCTCACTCGCTTCCCAAAGTCTCGTATTCTCCTCTAAGAGAGCCATACGATTCTGTAAAATCCTCATTGTCTACAAAACAGCAAGAATAACAGCACCTACCTTGGAGGGTTGTTGTAAGGATTGGATAAGAATGTATGTCAGGTGTGAGCACAGTGCCCGACACTTTAAAAATCCCCAATGGAAAGTTTATTATTAAGTTGGAGTCACCCTTGATGTTTAGATTTCCAAGTTATTTTTAGTTGCTAACAGCCTAATGACCCCAATGTGAAGTCATTTTGTTTTCGTTTTGGATCAGTTGCTACATGGCTGGCTTCCTTAAGAATAATATTTCCATCTTAATTCTTACAGTATTTTATACTTTTCATGGACTGTTTATTTCTGTGACATCAGAACATTGGCTTTGATGGAAACGCTATATATTTTTCTGAATCATTTTTATCTGTGTTTTTCTGAATCACTAGCTAGAGCGTTGTAAGGCTGACAGGAAGTTACCCTTTGGTTAGCTCTGTAGCTAGGAACTGTGTTTGGAAAAGTGGCTGCTAGAATTAAGTCTGGATACTTAAAGCAGAATTCTCTGTACAAAGTAAAAATACTAGATCAGCCTTTTACCAGATGTCTAACAATGACTAAAAGTGTTTTGAAAGATCTCCAAGATATATTGTTTGGTAAAAACAGCAATGTGCAGAACAAACGTGTAAAGTACTCCCTGATAAGTGTTTGAAAAAAGAATACAGACAGAAAGTTAGATAGGAATTTAGATATTTATAGATACATGTGTATGTTTTTGTGTAAGTATAGACAATTTCTAGAATGATTTACAAGAAACTGTCAGTAATGACTGCCCTGGGGAGGAGAACTAAAGATTTAAGTTAGAAAAAAGACATTTCATTATGTATTTTTTAGTACTTGTTGAATATTTTACCAGTGTCTCCCTCACTTTTTAAATAAAAAGCTAGTGTGAAAATTACCATCATCACTGTCAGCTGTTATTTATTGAGGTCCTACCCATTGCAGGCAACGTATAAGACTTTATATACACATAGACTCTAATATTCACAAGCATCCTGCAAAGTAAGTAGAAGCTGTGTAGTGTGTATAATATTATAGAGCAAGTAAGAGACAGTGCCATTTATTTCTGCTTTTAACTGGAGTTTTCAGAACTCCACCATGCTTAACCGCTAGTATAGGCATTTAGCTCTTTACTACACAATGGAAAAGATTTCTTCAATTACGATCTCAAATCACTGTAATTACAAATTCTGCCAGTGTGTAGCTGGAGTTTCTCTTAAGGTAGAGGCTTCAAATAATGTCCTTCAAGTCTATTTTTTATTTTACCTCTTAGGACAATTTGTCATGGAATTTTTTTTTTTTTCTGACTTGTATATTATAACCAGGATTTGCACAAAATCCAGCTGGTTTCCGAGTAAATATGTCCTGCCATTCAGTATGAATACACCTTTGCTATATGGATTTTAGAAGCACTATAATCATGGGTGGAGCCCTGTTGGCACAGAGGTTAAGTGTTTAGCTGCTAACCAAAAGGTCTGCATTTCGAATCCACCAGCCGCTCCTTGGAAACCTTAGGCGGCAGTTCTAGTCTGTCCTACAGGGTCACTATAGTCAGAATCAACTTGACGGCAATGGGTGTATAATCATGGGAACAAGAAAGATTGCCTCTTACTATGTCAATGACTTTCCACTCTGAAATGATTTAACACTGTTGTTTATTGCAAAATTTGTGAAGTACCTGATTGTTATTATCAGGCACTTTTATTCTTTTATATCATTTGTACTACTGATCATTCCTTGTTGTGATCTGAGGCACTACCATCAAATGTCCAGAGCCACAAGGAGGTGGCAGCATAGTGACATTATACTGCAGGTCTTTAGCTTTTATGTGGGGTGGGAAAAGGCAGGGGAAATAGCTGAATTAAATTGACCAGCAAGGAAGAAAGAGACAGCTTGTGGGAGGCCCAGATGATTAATGTCAGCAATCCAAGGATAACATAAAAGTAGAAGGCACGGTTAGGCAGACTGGTCCGTACACTTCAGCAGCACCAGAATGGTCCTGGCTACAGGAATGTGTCCATAGTAGATTGCATGATTGTGTTTGAATTCTACTTCCAGTCTGATCGTGTGGATACCTATGTAAGATTTAACCAAGATGAAATATCCTAGGTAAATTCATAAAAAGAATAACTTGTTACTCTACCAGTACAGAATGATTATCTGGGGCATTGAGTTTAAACCTAGTCTTTAACCTATTTAATTTGTCATGGCTTTGTGTCTGAGAAAAATTTGCTGAAAGTCAAACTAAGCTCTTAGTCCCACTCTATCTTTTCAAAAATCATACAGTATTGCAAACAGGTATCAAACCTGTCAAAGGCAGTTAATAGCATTCCCATTTTATGGCAATTTGGTGCTTTCTAAACAACTGTTCACTCAAAGCTTTTCTCCCTTTATTTAAAGATTTACATACTAAATGGTTTTGGAAAGTGTAAATAAACTACTTTTCTCTCTTTGGGATGTCAGTCCTAATAATAATCGTGAATTTACATCATTTCCTTTTTTTATGGAGCTAAAATTTTATTCTCTTGTGTTGTAAGTTGGGGAGGAGGGTGAATATTTAAATTTCGATTGCGATTTTAATGAAGGAGGCAGCTTTAAAATTATAATGTATATAATGTGGTAGAGTATAGTGGGATAGAATTTCAGGTCTTCTTTTGGAAGACTTTACTTCATTTCACTTCTTCTGAATAAACTGAAATCTTTTTATAACTCTAAATTTTACTTCTTACCTCTTCCACACCTTGGAAACTCCTTGAACCTTTTTCTCTCTATCCTCTTTCCCCTCTTCCCCTTTTCTTTATCTTATCCTTCTTTTTTCACATAGAATAGGAAAGTGACAACTAAGTCTAATTTCAAGAGATTTAAAATGCTTTTCCTCTCAAAAAAAAAAAAACAACACACAAAAACCCACTCATGAGAGCTGCCATTTTGTCTGAACTGGCCACGTTGTTAACTTCTTTTGATTAAAGCACCAAATACCCCAGATAAAATCTAAATCATATATATATATATATATATATATACACACTAGTCATTTAGCAGAGTGCTGCTGATATGGTACATAGGTTTGGTGAGACTCCCTGGGTGGCTAAATGTTTAAGCACTCAGATGCTGACCAAAAGGTTGGAGATTTGAGTCCACCCAGAGGTGACTTGGAAGAAAGGCTGAAAAATCAGCCATTGAAATTTCTATGGAGCACAGTTCTACTCTGAAACACCTGGAGTCTCTATGAGTTGGAGCTGACCCAATAGCCAACTCGTAAGATTTGGTGGGGAGAAGGGATAAGAGAACAGAGTTAAGAGTACAGGCTCCTCGCCATGAAGTCAGTCCCTGGTGGCAAGACCCTAGAGCTAAGGACCCTGACAAGCTAGAGGGAATGATTTTTGGAAATGGGGTTCCTTGTGGAAGGAACAAGGATGAGCAGAAACTAAAGGGAGCTTTTCACCTTTATCAGTATCTTTCCCGAGCACAGTATTCCAAGAATCCCTGGGGTGAGTAATTATTTAATAAAAAAATGCTCAAAGAATGAATGAATATGAAAAGAATTGTTGAATCGATTTTTTTCCTCACCTCAAAACTTAGGCAACAGTAAACTATATTTGGCTATGTGACAGCTAATTATTGTTTTTAGCAAGTAACTACATTTCAGTAAAAGATGATATGCTTTCCAAAGTGTGTTCCAGAAGAGCAAAAAGATAAATTCCATCAACATATGTTAGAGCAAGTTATGGAATAAGAAATCGACTAAGCTTCTAAATGATTTGCTACAAGATTAGAAAAGACACTGCCTTATGCTTCTAGCAGATTTGGGAATCCTGATTATATTCCTTAAATAATGAAAAGTTTAGCCACTTCTGCTGCATCTCTCCTTAAATTTAATTTAGTTACTTTTATATACTTAAGTGCATTCAGGAGTCTCAGGCAAAGTTTTGAAGAGGAAGGAATAAAATGCTGAATCTTATAAATCTCTGTTCTCTCTTTAAAGAAAATAAAAATACTCCTACACATCGAAGGCTGCCACCACACCATTGACTATAGCAAACACAAGTAATTTTGTGTTTTTACAATTGGAGTTGGGTTGATTCCCACTCATAGCGACACCATATATGTCAGAATGGAACAGTGCTCCACTGGGTTTTCAATGGCTGACTTTTCAGAAGAAAGTCAAGCCTTTCTTCTGAGGTGGCTCTGGGTGGACTCAAACCTCCAACCTTTTGGTTAGCAGCTGAGCGTGTTAACCATCTGTACCACTCAGGGACTCCGGAGACTTTAAGACTGAGGTAGAACCAGACTAGTAGCCAGTTTGACATGCTCAACCAACAATAAATTGAATAGACTGTAATTGTAAATGGAATGTGACCCTGTCAAACTTTCAGAGTTGGTTCTTTAGTTCTCTATCTGCAGCCAGTCAACATCTGTGAAACAATTTCATGTATTTTTTGTTGGTAACTAGGGATAGTTGTGTAAGTAAGATGGATGGTTTGGAATAGACCTCTCCATTTGAACTGTCACATTCATAGAATTATTGAAGAGGAGGAAGTCGCCCGGAGGAGTAACGGAGGATGCTTACCTGTGCCCGTGAAACTTACCTTTGCAAATTGCTCATGTATGTCCAGCAGGCTGGGTCGGTTGACCTTGGGACCGCTAATGCTGCCGCTGTTGCGATAGTACTCGATCTTGGGCACAGCATCCACGGTGTTATGGCCAAAGGTTTGCAGGTAGTATGTGTTTGTGTGAGAATCATGTGCATGAAAACTGGCATCTGTTTTAGCGGTGTCTCCATTTTGGAGAAAATTGTCATAGCACTCCTGATTCCCAGGCCTAAAGCTGATCCTGAGTCTGTTTTGACGTTCATCTCCAAAAGAGGTTTCTTCATAATGTGGAGGGTCAGTGCCATCATCCGCACCTGCACTGCTCTCGTGGTTCTCATTTATGACACTAACCTGAAAGCGAGCAGCATTACTGGGGACTGCATCCAGAAATGCACTGGAAGAGCTGTTATGTGACATCTTCCAAAATGGACTTCTTTGACTAAGCTATCTACCTTACGGTTGTTAAAGAAAATCTATGTATTTCTTCCTCTAAATAAACGCTAATGTGGTTACATTAGCGAGCTCCTGGCTTTTGTTCTAGAAAAACTCAGTAAATAGATCCTTGATGCATTCTCTTCTAAACAGTCTTCACAATGGTCTTCAAGGCTGTCATTTAGAAAAGAAAATTAAACTTATTCTAAGTAATACAAATATATTAAGGGGATGGGGGCATGAAGAAATAGTTTTCTTTCACAAGACATAAAATTTGTAATTCATTCTACTAAAAATTACTTGTTCAAGAATAAATTTTCAAAAATGAATTACTAAAAAAAATTACTTGCCCAGGAAGGTTAGTTACCTGAGCAATTAAATCCCATAATAAATAATTGGGGAGCTGTTTTGACAAGCAGAGTTTCCAGTGGAATCATTAAAATATTTCTTGTGTTTGTACTATTTGCTTGGCCTCAGTGCAGCTGGATTCAATGTCATTTAACAAAAGATGTAACAGTAAGGGCTGATGAGAATATAGTCTCAGCGTGAAACACACAGTTCATTCACAGCTAAATGCTGAAACTACCAAGTATTACATGACCGGGAGAAATGTACATTACACTGACGAGTAAAACGAAAGAAAAAAAAAGCATTCTGAAAGCTTCTCAAAAGTGTGCATTCTTGTTAGTTTATAAAAATCAGTACATATTCAAATAATAAATTTGTTTCAGAAACACTTTGTTACCTATGCAACAGGTGAAAAAAATTACATTTTAAAATACGAATTTTAAAAACGCTGCTGTCAAGATGATGCCGCTATAAATTCTTGGATATGTTCCTGGACTGTTTCAATTGCTCATACTTCTAAGTTTGTCTTGCAAATGCTATAAAGGGCGCTGTAAAATATATATGAGCTTTTGGGGTAAGGATATAAATCATAAAACCTGTTGCCGCTGAGTCGATTCCAGTTCATAGAGACCCTATAAGACAAAGTAGAACTGCCCCATAGGGTTTCCAAGGAGTGGCTGGTGGATTCGAACTGCCAGCCTTTGGCTTAGCAGCCGAGCTCTTAACCACTGTACCACCAGGGCTCCAGGATATAAATCATAGCCCTTAATAAAGTTGTGTGCTAAATTTAGGCAGAATAATCATGCTCGACTGACTCCCTTTAATGAAACGTTCTCAATCTTCATTGAGAGATTTCTATTTGACTGTGTAATGACACTGTGTGATCATTTCCTCAATTCCATGGTCTGAGGCCTTAGGACAGTCTTGCCTTAGAATATTATTTCTTTACTGATACCTGAAAATATGGCTTTTCAAAGACTGTTCTAGAAAGAGGAGATAAATACATACAAAAACTTGCCTCCCTCATGGCGTTATTAAAACTGTTTCTTTCAGAAAAGAAATTCAACTTCAACTGTGAACAAACCTTTCCTGGGGAAATTGTAAGTAAAGCTGTTACTTATCTTTTCAGTTTTTACAGAACATCCCACTTCTCTTCATAAGCCTTGGCATTCTCTTTTTACCCCACTCCTCAGAACCTACTCTATGGCATAATATTAAAACGTGACTTTCTCGTGCCCGGAGATGTTTAACTTACCACCCAGGAGCCTTCTTCTGAGGAAGTGTGACCTGCTTCAGCATCACTCAGGCATATATGGGGAACTTAGCTTTCAGCCCAGTGCCCTAGGCTTCTTCTTATTGGTTAGAACCTTTCTTAAAAGAGATGACTGTGCAAAGATTGGCTTGGAATAATACGGTAAGCCCTGCCCAGTCATTAGCCCTAAGGACCCTAAGTACTACATCAACTAGTAACTGTTAGTAAACCATTAATCCTTTCAGGCAGGAAGTAGAAGAAAATTTCTTTAATTCATAAGGTGAATTGGACTGCTCAATGGCAATTATCCAATAAAATACAAACATCGCTTCAGTTGTTTGGGGCTAGATAAATGAATCCTGTCATCTTATGGATAAGTCCGAGTGCTTATGCTTGCTATTATTCAGCATGTGCACCAAAATATAGTCCTCCAGAGGTAATTTCTATACTTCGTAACCAGAAAATGATACCTGAAATTGTTTCTTCTTGCTTATAGTAGGTATTACCTTGACTCTTCTGTGTGGGGAGTAAGCAGATTGAGCATAGGATCAACTAGTTACTGAAAATACCTCTGCCTAGTGGAAAATGGTTTCCAGCAGGGAACCAACTGTGGTAAGTTTCCCAGGGACACTGCAAATGACCTTTTGTCTCCATCTGGCAAAACATTTCTATCAAACTTGGTTTTTGAGTTTTGTTGAGGGAAAGGTTTTTCTCAAATCTGTGAGCGAGCATAAACAGTTTTTCCCGGCAGGTTCTGTCATTGGTTTTCAATCAGGATGATTGAAGAAGTCTCCCTCACGTCTTAGGAGAAATGATCCAAGTGTTTTCCAGTTGTCAGAGTAGTGTGATTGTAGGGTAATATAGTGGTTAGGAGCCAGACTCTGGAGCCAGAAGGCTGGATTCAGATCCCAGCCTTGCCACTTCCTTGCTATGTGAACTCAGGCAAGCTACTCCGTCTCCCTGTGCCTTAATTTCCTCATCTGTAAAATGCAGATGTGGATAATGATGACACTTGCTTGTTATACTATATTGTGAAGATTGTTGCTGGGTGCCATCCAGTCAATGCCAACTCTTAGCCACCACATGTGACAGAGTAGAACTGCCCCTTAGGGTTTTTTTGGCTGTAATCTTTATGGAAGCAGATGGCGAGGTCTTTCTCCCATGGAGCCACTGGGTGGATTTGAACCACTAACCTTTAGGTTAGCAGCCAAATGCTTAACCATTGTGCCACCAGGGCTCTTTGTGTTGCGAGGGTTATATGAGTGTACAGGGTTTAGAACAGCACTGGCTTGTACACAGCATTTGCTTTCACTATTTCAACACAGTTATAACTGACTGGTGACTTTTACTTAGTCACAGCCAAGATTCTGGGATGAATCATTACCCCAGGTTGGATAGGCACTATGCCTGTTAAAATAGGGGGAAAGGTAGGTTGGTGAACAGATTACAGGGTTATAGAATGGGGTCTGGAGGTACTTAAAGTAAAACCCCTTAGATGATCTCATTGAGGTAGATGTCATAGTCAGGCTAATGTCATGAGGCTGTATTAGAAACAGAGACAGAAAACTTGGTGATTTGAACCTACCCGGAGGTCCCTCGGAAGAAAGGCCAGGCAATCTGTTTCTGAAAGATCACAGCCACGAAAGCCCTATGGAGTACAGTTCTGCTCTGCAACACATGGAGTCGTCATGGGTCAGAATCAGCTTGGTGGCAGCTGTTTTTGTTTGTTTGCTTGCTTGTTTTACCTATAACTCACTCTGCTCTTAAAGGCCACTAATGCAAGCCACTTGTTTGTTTAACAAAGGGTTCTGATTCCCCAGTGGACGATAGTTAGGCATAGGAATTAGTCACATTTCAGATTCAGCTGGGTGGGGCTTATTGTTTAGATCATGGGACAACTAGGATGGGGCTGGGACCCAAAACAAATCTTATTTACCAGACCAGCACAGGAGCTGTGAACTGACTTGCAGTTATTTTGACCACCTCTAGTCTCCCTTCCTGGTGGCGGAGTGGTTAAGCATTTGGCTGCTAACCAAAAGGTTGGCAGCTCAACTCCACCAGCTGCTCGTTGGAAACCCTGGGGAACAGTTCTCCTCTGTCCTATAGGGTCACCATGAGTTGGAATCGACTCGACCGCAACGGATTTGATTTTTTTGGTTCAGTTTCCCTTCCTTCAACCCTTCCCCCAGCCCCGCTCTCTCTTTCAGGAGGCTACGTATGTATTCTTTAACCTTTTTTCTCTTCCAAACTGTGATGCCTCTGGTGCCACTCAATTTCCTCCTTCCTTGCTGACTGATTGACTGCCTGACCACGTTGTAGTCTGAATTAGTTTTAGTCTTGGTCTTACATCAACCAGACACTTTCATGCTAAGCTTTTTATCTCTAACTATGAAAAGAAAGTCTTTGTTCTCTGTTAAGGGGATTCAGACATTCTGAAGCAGATGGGAGATGGTTTGGGGGATATGGATGAAATCCCACCATCTATAAAGCCAACTTTGATAGGTAAACCTGAGTTAGGCCTTTCTGACAGGTGGTAAGGAACCAGGAGCAATCTTTCAGGAAGGAACAGTCCTCTATCTTTCTTGTCCTGCCTGACAGGGCTTTTGGGGAAGGGACAGCTAGGGGCTGATTCAGTTATGGCATTGAACATCTGGAAGGATAGGTATTTTGTGAATTTCCATGTGGCATCCATACTACAAACAAGATATAACCAGCCTTTTATATCTTGTTTTTGTAGCTCTGATTAACATAGATGCTAACTCCTCCGTGCCAATCTCTCCCCAAAGAGTGAACGCACACAATAGGTCTTAGATGAAGGCCATGGATGAAGACAGTTTTGGTTCACAGAGTTTCTCTTTAGTGGGACTGGAAATAGTATGTGGCAGAGTTGATGATATCTGAAGACTTGTGGGAATTGAACTTCCAGGAAAAACGTTCATATCTGATAAAGTTTTCTTATTTTAGTTTTGGGGGTCTTTCTTCTTTTCAAAGCAGAGATATAGCCTTGTTTTTTCTAGTCACTAAAATTGAGGGTCTTGGTGGGCATCTTCCCTGGGAGACAAATGGCACATCTGTTATTAGGGTGTGTATCCTAGAGAGCACTTTAAAAGCTTGGATCACAAAGGAGATGCCTAGCATCCTGGCATATACAACTGTCAGTGAGTCCAGCTGGGCTTGGCTCAAAGAGGTGTTCTTGGGCCAAATCACTAGCTGGCTATCCTCCCGTACCTACTGTGGTGCCAACAGCCTCCTTGAATTATGGGTTGGGTCCAAAAGATTCACAGTCAACATAGACGTGCTCTGAATCTATTAGAAGATGGAAGATACCAGGGAGTCTCAGTGAGAGGCTGGTTTGGGTGTGCCGTAGACATGAGAAGTAACCAGGTTTATAAGATATGTAGAAACGCAGAGGACAATTCCCAGGAGTACAGAGAGTGTATATGAGCAAGGACTGATGTTAGACTGCCAACTTCAATTCCTAATGCAACCTCCCCCTAGCTTGGTAACCTTAGGAAGTTACTTAATCCTTCACAGTTTCAGTTCCTCATCTGTGAAATGGAAATAATAATGAAATGGAGATAGCAGTCCCAGACTCAAAGGGTTGAAAAGAGTATCAAATCACATAATCAATGGGAAACACCTAATTTAGTGTCAAATTCTCAGTCAGTATTAGATATTTTTATCCTTTTCGGTGTGCTTGTCAGTTTTGTGTTCTCAAGTGTCACAAATGTTTTTGTATTTCTTTATGTGCTGTTATATTCCTCCATTCAGTGAGAGTCACAGTGTTGTAGTTGGGAAGAACTTTAAAATCATGCGATTCGATTTTTCATTTCTCAGAGAAAGAAAACGAAGACTGGAGAGTTTGAATGACTTACACTAAGTCACATTGCTTCTTAGAGTTTGAGAACTACTACTGAAGCTGATAGGATAATAAATAATGATAGGTAATAATAAATAATGATGAAATACTAATAAATAATAGTTATGATAAAGGTATGTTTAAATTACGATTTTCAAATTGCTTTCACATTCATTATATCCCACTTGGTCTCCCAACATCCCTGTAAGATATGCAGGATAGGTTTCTTTATCCTCGTTTTGCATATGTGGAAAATAAGGTACCTTGAGGTAACTTCCTAGGTTATAAAGTAGTTTTTGGCTGAGTTAACTTTAGAATTTCCATGTCTGAGTTTAAACTCCTAATCTGAGAATCTTTTCAAAATATCTTAAATCCTCATTCATCTCAGCTCTCCAGTTTCCTGATCCATGTTTGTAGTGTTCATAGAACTCCAGAATCCAGTGAGTTAGCCCCCTCACTGAAGACCACAGAGATTAGGCAATTTGCCCAAGTGCACACAGCTGTAATGGTGGCCAAGCTGAGACTAGACTTCTTATTTTCAGTAGAGTGCTCTTTCAACAAGGTCATGCTTGAAACTCACTTTTTAATACTATTTATAAAAGGAGAGGTGTGTATCAGTATGAGTCAGGTGTGATTTGGACGCCAGACTAGGGGATTTTATTGCAAGAGATTTTAAAATGAGAAGCTCTTAGAAGGGTTAGAGCTTTGTGAAATTTGGGAAATCATTAGAGTCTGTGGCTATTTGTTTGGCTCCGAGTCTCAGATTTTTGAGGATTTGTTTTGTTTTGCTCCTGCCTGTAAATCTTTTTAACCTATGGGTTATTATTAGGAAACCCATATTCTATTTTTATTTTGAGCTGAGGGCGCCTCATGCTTAAGACACCTGTTTGTTAAACCTAAAGGGGCCCAAGTTGGCAGCGTGGGTGCCTGCATTGTGGAAGCCTCCAGCACAGTTCATTAGCATAAGAAAGGAAGCAGAGCTTTATAGCCTACAATGTTAGATAAGAATAAAGATGGTACATTTAGCTGAAGGGATCCCTGTGTGGTAGTCATTAGGGGACAGAGGAAAGTGAGAAACCCGACAGTGGGTTATCATTTACTCAGCATGGTGAATAAACTAACCACAGACATTTATTGAATTCAGTAAGTGAAATGAGCCTCTCTCCAGCACACTCATGGTAATTACAAATGGATAACCATAAAAACCGGAAAGCTGGATATCTCATGCAAGCGCATATTCAAACGTCCCTTTGTCAAACTCTTCGACTTTATCTTCCCATGTAGAGGAAGGCATGCTACTGTACGGGTCTAATAGGATTTTGAAGCATCTGATAATAAGAAGTCCCAAGAAGATACACAAAATCCCCACGAAAGCAAAGCCAGTTTTTTGCTCCAGAGTCAGTGAGAAAGCAGATACTTCATTAACACTCATCTTAGCTGAAGAGTTGCCACAGTAGGTGCTACTCATTCTTCACTGTCACATCACAGTGGCTCTGGAGGATTCCTTTCGTAGTCACCGCTTGGCCTAGGTACAAAATTGGACTCAGTTTAGTTTTATCCATGCATGATACTGGCAGGTATTTTTTTAATAAAATCTGGCATTTTTCAAACCTACTTGACTTAAATCACAAAAGATATTTGAAAACATCCTTAGATATGCATCAGAATCAAATTAGCATTGGAGATGCTACTTCTACTATAGGAATTACAAAATTGCTTTTGTGGGCACATAACACGTCGCCAACATAGTCTAAAAATTAAACCAAGTATGAAGGTGAATATTCAAACAGCCCTAAAGCTCTTGATTCATTGCCAGATGGTTAAGTCACTACTTCTTTGACCTGAACTGTCATCTAATTTTCACTTCATTTTTGCACATGTGTTGTTGTTAGTTGTTGAGTTGATTCTGACTCATGGCAACCCCAAGTGTGCAGAGTAGAACAGTTACACTAGGTTTTCAAGGCTGTCACCCTTTGGAAGCAAATTGCCAGGCCTCTCTTCCGAGGTGTCTCTGGATGGGTTCAAACCACTAACCTTTCACCTAGTAGCCAAGAGCTTAACTGTTTGTGCCACATAATCATGGAGTGTGAGCTGGTCACACTGTTTAAAGTTCATGTTTCAAATTCTATCTCCAGTGCCATTTTGTTTGATACAAATTCCAATCCTTTTAAACAAATGTAACATCTTCCACCTTTTCACCCTCTTCACTTTTACACGTACGCGCTTGTATTTTCTTCTCCAATACTGTTCCACACACTAAATACCAATGTCTTAAAGATAGAAACTATGTTTTGAAAATTATGTTAATACAAGCAACGCCCAACATAGCAGCTGGCACATAACAAGCACCAGGAACTGTGGGTCATTAGCTATTCCCTCACCATTTCCTTTAGCTGTCAGGACATCCTAAATGAACATAAAATCCAAGTTATGCAATGTGTTCTCTATGCCAATTCCACTTCAAACAGTCCCCCTTCCAACCAGATTCCCACTCCTAAGCATATCATACTGAAACTACAATGGAAGTGTTTAAAAAGTATTTGTTGAATAGAAGTAAAAAAATTTTCTCCTTTTGGTGTCTTAATAGGCTAATTACCATATAGTGAAATCAAATGCTTACTAACCCATAGCCACCTTTCTTGAGAGGACTGTCAACAAATAGCTTGTCATCCAGTAACTGAGAAAGATAGATGGTTAGCATTTTCTCCGTTGTTGCTTCTTCTGAGAATTTGCAAGAATTATGTCTATTAAAATGACTGACACTTGAGATTTTTTTTGGTCTCAATTTTCAGAAGACAACCAAGACTGAACAAGGGATGGTAGGGAAGAAGTAGAAAAAGGGTAATTAATAAGAACATGCCTTGTAGCTTTCAAAACTATTCACTAACTAATACACCAACTAATTAATCAAACCAAGATTTTATTTTATAATGTTTGCATTACAAAAGAGCTCTATCTTCAAGCCTTAAGTGGCTGGAATATCCAATACATTGTGGAGTATGCTGGTTATCTGATTTTTACATTTAAAAAAAGGGAAAAATAAATATTGTTTCAAACTCCACTGTTGAACATCTTTCCAACAAATCATTTTTCTATTTTTCTGACCTAGTAAGTATAGGATGGAGCCCTGATGGTGCAGTAGTTAAGCACTTGGCTGCTAACCAAAAGGTTGGCAATTCGAACCTACCCAGTGCTTTGGGGGAGAAACACCTTTCTATCTGTTTCCACAAAGATTACAGCCAAGAAAACCATATGGGGCATTTCTATTCTGTCACATGAGGTTGCTATGAGTCAGCATTGTCTCAACAACACCCAACAACAACAACAGAAAGTGTGGTATCATGAACATAATTTATTTATTTTTTTAACCAGCACTTAAGTGGCTCAGAGTTATCTTCCTGAACACTGACTTCTTGTTGTACTATCTGTTCTATAAAAGGCATAGGAGACTGGGCTGAATGCTTAATGACCCTGGGACTTAACCAGACATTTTTTTTCTGACTACATCTCTAAATTTTTTGCTTTTTCAATTAAAAGCCTTTTAAAAAAAAATCCATACACTCTCTGCTTAATTTGTTTAAGAGATAAACTGAAAAGCAGCATGTTTCTAAAATGTTGGGCCAAGTATCCATCATGTAGCTGATTCAGCCAAATAAATTATTTACATTAATTTTTCAAGAGTCATGTGTGTAAGAGGAGGCAAGAAATCTAGTTTATAGGTTGGGCACCTTCACTGAGGACTTGTCCAGCAACTGGGAGTGATTGATGTCAGCAGATAGTCTTCAGCTGTCAGCTCCTTCCATGGATTGCCTCAACTGCAGAAAGGTGCCTTACCCAAGGTCACAGCCCTTCACAGGGATGACCAGATCCAGTGATGGACTGAAAGGAGATAAAAGACCTACCTGGCCACCTTGACCCAACGGGGCAACTCTGAAGGACTGTTCTAGCTCTAGAGTTCTGCATGGGGTCAGCCAAGGCGATCATTGGGTTCACATCACAGCTCTACTTCTGCCTACTCTTGCTTAATTCCTCACTGTTCCACAGCTCTTGATCCCAAGTACACTTCTTAATAAACATCCTGCACATGAAACTCTGTCTGAGAGTCTGATTTCTAGGGAACTCAATCTGCAACAATTGGTATCACAAAAATTAAAACACCTGGGAAGTTTTAACAATCTGTTCATGCTTCTACTAGTTTATTTTGCCATCATGTAGAAACAGCCTGAACTGTTTATGATATAGTTATGATATTATCTAAATTCATTTAGGTGTTTTTTAAAATCACAATATAGACATGAACGTAGACAGGGCCATAGGTGATCACTGGAGCAATTAAGTCTGTTAGCTTTTGGCCAGTGATTCAGGCACTAACAACAACAACAAAAATTAAGAAGCATTTTTTAGATGTAGCAGTAAAACCCTTGATCTATTTGTTGCTATTAAAACAGTGCGTTTTCCTAATGAGAGATACCAATCCTTTATATTTTACATTACAATTTATCTAACATATACCAGATAATTCTTTGCTATTAGACTCTTTGAGGATCTGTGAATTAATGAGCTCCATTTTTAATGGAGAAATAACTACTTCTCAAGTGATTACCACAGTTCCTGGCACATTGTAGGTGCTTAATGAATATTTTAATTGAATTAAACTACGTTTGTTAAAGAATATAGTTTTTGATGAATAGAGTTCTGATTTTTAAAAAAAAAATCTAATTTTTTTAACGTCATGAAAACGCATTTAGTTAAAATGAAATGAACAAGAAACCTTTTATTTGATTCAAAATTTGGCCTTGAAGATAAGTATAAAAACACAGCAGCTCATTCAGACTTTCAGTGTTTCTGTTATTCCCTATTAAATTGCTTAATAACTATTCCCAGAAAGACTCACGTGATTTGTAGTGTTCAAACATAAAGAAAGAGGATCTTTCCTAACAATCTTGTGAGTTTCTTTTTATTGTCTAGGGAAAATATGCAGCCATCATATTATTACGGCTTTAACTACCAAGAAGTAGAGAGTTAAATTTTGTATTCTACTGAAGTGACTTAAGTTAGCTTAAGATTTCTGGTATAAATATTCCTTCTTCCTCTGCCCTTTCCCTCTTCATTGCCTGGCAATGACCCTTAGCTAAGAGAGGTATTCTAAGATACTTCAAAGGCTTTGGGCATCAGGTAGGGATATAAACAATGACTGGATATGCAGAATCATTGTAAGTAAATGAATAAAGTCACTGTTCTTTTACACTCACCTTGGAGGACAAGATAAATGGCTATTTCTTGGCTTTAAAAATAATTTATAAGCACTCTGTGGCTCTCTGTCATTGGCACAAATATAGAAGAAATGGGGCAAATGCTGAGAAGCGACCAAAAAATTTAAAGGAAGTCTAAAGAGCTGAGTGAGCTTAAGGTAATATACAATAATGAAGATAATAATAACATTTTAATTAACTTATTCATTAAAAAAATGCTCATTGAGTATTGTTCTAGGTGCTGGGGTACAGTGGTGAACTAGAAAACAATGTGCACCTGCCATAATGAGGGTTATATCACAATGGAGGAGACAGACCAAATTGTTTTTAAAATATCTATTCATATCTATATAGCTATAGCTATAGGTATGATATAGCTATAGATATAGCTGTGTCATCTATATCTACATATTATGTCGGTGGTCAAAAATGCTTTGAGAGAATGCAAAGCAAGTTAAGAGAAAAGAAAATGATGGTGGTTAAGGGGCACTACTTTAGATAAAAAGTCAGCAAAGGCCCCTCTAGGGAGACAACATTCTAGCAGAGAGCTGACTCATGTCGAGGAGGGAGCCATGAAAATATCTGGAGGAAGAACATTGCAGGTGGAGGAACCAACCATTGCAAAGGCTTTGAGGTGAGAATATTTCATACATTATATGTTCAGATCAAGAATTTGATCAATAAAGGTTTAAGTCTGCTACTCGTGCAAGATGACTGCATGGTGTCCGATGTCTAAGAAATGGCAGAACTATGTAATCTATGTCTGCCTTTTTAACCAAAGTAGAATGGTCTTTAGAAATGATAGAACAAACAATGTCCCAGGACAAGAATATAGCAGGGTAATATTTAGCCATATTAAATGAGTTAAAATTCCCAGACTCAGACGATTTATAACTTGCAGATATAATTTCAAGACCTTTGAAAATTTATTGACCATGAGGTTGCTGCCAAAATTATGGAAATGGACAGACAAATAGCTCAATTTTCAAAGGAGTCAGCAGGAGTTGTGAAAATTGTATCTTGGTAACTTGGAATTTATCTTCTGCAAATTCATAATTAATTATCTAATAGATCATTTTTTGGCACTTAAGACATCATGAAAAGTCAACATGAGCTTAGTAGGAAGTAATGCCAAATTCTCTTCTTTTTGTAAGTTTACTACCAACATCATGAATCAAGAAAACAACATAGACATGGTTTAGTGATTTCATCAATG